GTGAGAAACTGAAAGTGGAAATATGGACTGAAATGTATAATGGATATTGGGAAAGGGGAAGGAAAGTGTTCTAATGGGAAGGAGAACAAGGGAAGAGAAAGGGAGAAAGGAAGGAAGGGACAAGAAAAAAATTAAAAAAAGAAAAAATGGAAACAAAGCTTTTGTACATGGGGGGGTTTGAGGGGGGGGAATGGGACAAAATAAAAATTATTTTAAAAAATGAGTAATAGTTCAAAGAAACCTAATCTGGGAAACAATAAAATCCTATTAGTTATTCAAATTATATGTTTACTTTGGTTTCTCATAACTCACATATTATGCAATACTAACTAAAAGCAAAATTGCCTTTAAAAAGTATGCAATGTAGAGTTTTTCTGGGTTTCAAAATAAACAGTAATTATTAATATAGTGATAACTGCAGTGGTGCTGTGGAATAGAGTCTGCACTGTGTTCAGAGTGTATCCTTTGTTTAAAGCTACTACAGACAGATGGGAGTTTTTTGTGTGCACCAACCAAAGGAGAAAGGAAATCTTGACCTATTTCATTTCATTGTTCTGAAGATGTGTGATGTGGGGCTATTTCTAGGAAATTTTCTCTAGATACTTCAATTTAACTTTGGTCTCTTCATTTCTTTCTGTGTATGATTTTTTTTTTTTTTTTTTTTTTGGTACTGGGGATTGAACTCAGGACCTTGCACTTGTGAGGCAGGCGGCAGAACTACTGACCTAAATCCCCAGCCCTGAAAATGGTAATTTTAAGGGTTGTGAAATAAATTAAGTCTATACAAGGGCTTAAAGTACTCTTTAAATGCTTGGACAATGAGAAAAAAGTCAAGCTCCTTGAGGCCAGGGTCAAGTATGCCCAATTCATCATTGTCTTGGCCTCAGAGTTCAGCACATTATGCCCAATAAATGATTGCTGAGGACAATGACAGAGTCTGGGGATGCACCTTCTCTTTCCAAAGATTCAGCCAAGAGATTAACAGGCCAGTGTGCAGTATGAAAAGCCGTCACTCAGTTAGATCTCCCATTTGCCTAAGGTAGCAGACAATTGGGTTTTGCATGCCTGGTTTACACTCTTCAAATATTTATAGACAGTTCTCTTTGCCTCCAGCCCTACTTGTCACTCAGCCAAGTTATACATACAAGGTTCTTTTAATCTTTTCTTAGAAATCAATCCCACTAAACTCTTTAATCATTCTAGTTGCATTTCTCTCAACTTTTTGGCTGTCTTTCTGGTAATCTATTCTGCTGAAATGCATGAAAATAATATGGATGTGGACCACTGAGAGGTTTACTCACCTTTCCATTTCAAAGTTCAAAGCCTTTTATGTGCAAAATAAAATTATTTATCTTCTTTCCTTGTGTATGATCACATTTTAAAAACTTCATATTTAAAGTGACAGATTAATCAATACATTTCAAGAGAAAAAATATCATCAATATTATATTCACTAAGGATGACCCTGTTATTGATTGAACCCTCTCATGTATCTATAACCACTGATCTAACCTGCAGAATCAAAATGCAGAAAATCCAGAAATAATCCAAAACGTAGGACTCCAGAACAACATGGTTACACAGAAAGTCTTAAGTGCCCATCCTAAGGTTTTGTCTACCTGTGGTTATTTCTTGTTGACTTCAGATTTACAATAAAATAAGAGCAATCAAGAATTTTCTGAACAAGACTTCAAGAACACAGAAATAAAAGCCAAAATAGACAAGTGGGATTATCTCAAACTAAAAAGTTTCTGTACAGCAAAGGAAACAATGAACAGAGCGCAGAGAGAATGAGAGAAAATATGTGCAAACTACTCATGTGACAGAGTTGATGTTTGGAATATATAGTAAAATCTCAATAGTAAAAACAAACAAACCTGATTGGAAAATGAGCAATTGATCTGAATAGATATTTCTAAAAATAAGACATACAAATGGACAATGAGTACATGAAAAATGTTCAACATAATCATAAGGCAAATACAAATCAAAACTACAGTGAAATGCAACTCATCAAAGTAAGAAAGGATATTATAAAAAAAAGTAAAGATAAGTGCTGGCAAGGATGTAGAAGGAGACTTGCATACGCTTGGTAGAAACAATCAGAACGTTCCTCAAAAAAATTTTAAAAAATAAAGTCTATCGTATAATTCAGCAATCCCACTACTGTTAAATATCCAAAGGAAATGAAATCACTATGATGAAGAGACATCTGTGCTTCTATGTATACTGTAGCACAATCTATAATAGCTAAGATGTGAAAACAACTTATGATGTCCAATAGCTGATAAATAAAGATCTATCAATCTATCTCACATATATTCCCATATATTCATATATATATATATATATGTATGTATATATATATATACTATTCAGCTATAAAAAAGAATGAAATCCTATTATTTGCAACAACATGGATGGAACTGGAGATCATTGTATTAAGTGAAACAATCCAGGCTGTGGAAGACAAATGCTTAATGATCTCACTCATATGTGGAATCTGTAACAGTGGATGTCACAGTACCTGAGAGGACAATGGTGGTCCCAGAGGTAAGGGAGATTTGGGGGGTATGTGGAGGGATGGAGGAAGGCTGCATAGTCACCTCACTGTGCAGTAACCACCAGGATTTCTTACCCCTAGTTACAGTTAGGAGTAAGAGGTTCCCGTGTACTATTGCTGCACAGTGGGGTGATATAGATAACAAACCTGTACTGTACATTCCAAAAAGCTAGAAGAAAGGATTTCAAAGTTTTTATCATAGAGAAATGATAAATGTTTGAGGAGACAAATGCATTTAACATCAGGCTGGGGATGTAACTCAGCAGCAGAGAGTATGCCAAGCATGCAAAAGGTATGGGCTTATTCTCAGCAGCCCCAACCCCAAAAGATATGTTTCATATAATTTAAATATTATGTAATGTATACACGTGTTGAAACATTCCATGGCACCTCATTAATAAGGACATTTTTTACTATTATAAAAGTTACACATTTAAGAATTCAAATAACCAGAAGTGGGGAAAATTATCCATAATTTACCATACAAAGATAAAATTCAGCATGTTTTAGTTACTTTTTAAACTGACGGATAAAATTGTATGTATTTACCACGTACAACAAGTTCTTCAGGGTGTATATATAATGCAGAATAACTAAACTTAGCTAATTAACTGTGCATTATTTCACAGTTATCATTTTGTGGTGAGAATACTTAACATTCACTTTAGTATCATTTCTAAGAATACAACATGTTATTAATTACATCCACTAGGTTATATAAAGGTTCTCTTGAATTTTATTCCTCCTAGCTACCTAAAATTTTGTATCAAAGCTTTGACCAACATCATTTTACAATGCATCCTCAACTGTTCAGCCTTTGGTAACTATCATTTTACTAATTCTATGAGATCAATGTTTTTAAGATTCTGCATATCAGTGAGATCATGCAGTATTTGACTATGTGCCTGGCTTATTTCATTAATACAATGTCCTACAGGTTCAACCATGTTATTGCAATTGCTGGTAGGATTTCTTTGGTGTTTTTTTGGGGAGGGAGGGGGTAGTGTGGATTGAGGGTCCTCACACTGAGCTGCATTTTTGGCACTTTTTATTTTGAAACAGAGGCTTGATAAGTCACCCAGGTTGGGCTCAAACTTGCCATCTGTCTGCCTCAGCTTCCTAGAGTACTGGAATTACAGGCATGTCCCATCAAACCTGCTAGTTTCTTTGTATTTATGGCTGAAGAGTTTTCTGTTGTGTATATATACCACAATTTCTTTATTCATCATTTGATGGATATTTAGATTGTTTCCATATCTTATCTATTATGAGCAGTGCTGCAATGAACATGTGAGTGTAGATGTCTCTTCAACATATTAATTTCATCTCCCTTGGTATACAACCAGTTGTGGGACTGCTGGACTATAAGATACTTCTAGTTTAGTTTTTTGAGGAACTTCTATACTGCTTCCCAAATTGGCTATATTTAGTATTTTTGAACAATTTCATTTAAGCTTTTATGCATTTCTCTCAGTATACATAATCATGCCACTTACACAGTATAATACTTGCCTTTTTACTTCATAACACAAAATTTCGTGCATAGTCCTGTGTTCAAATAATAATTTTAATGATTACAACCATTCCATTAAATAAACAGATGGACCATAATTTTATAATTTCCTATAGGATGGTGATGGCAGACCTTTTAAAGTTTTCAAAAAGCCTGCTGCAGCATGCATGCCATAGGTTCCCCACTACTGCTATAGGACATTGACATTGTTTCCATTTTTTCTCTTAAGCGTTACTATAAAAAAATCTTTCTGGGCTTAAGATTATTCCTAGATCATAACAGTGAAGTTAATGGGTCAAAGAATACACAGAAAATAATTTTTGAGGTAAAGAATCAAAGCAAGTGTTAAATGACGTGAAAAATACCACCTGAAGTGCAAAAATTTTGTCTTTTAGCTATGAGGTTAACAAGTGAATGCTCAAATCTTAGAAAGGTACAGGCATTTGAAAGATAGCCGTTTCTAATAAATTAAATGTAATACCTACTAGTATAACAATCTTTTATTCACATAAATAGTCCACCAAAAAATATATGCATACTTCAGGAAAAGAAAAACAGTATGATGTTTTTTCAACAGATGGTGTTACCCTCATATGGCGGACCCTAGAGAATGTTGTATATCGCAGAAAGCCCACTACACTGTGGGTAAGAAATTGAAAATACGTGGGCAGGAAGCTCAACTAGGGTAACCCAAGCAGTAATTTGCGGTACTAATAAATGCCTGGCAGCTAATGGCCACTATTTTGAGCAACTTTTTTGACAGTAGATGCCAAAGGTAACTTGTATTACTCTATCTATGATGTCTCGAAAAATTTAGCATTAAAAATTCATACAAGTTTTTCTTTTCCTGAAGTGTGTATACATATTTTTGGGTGGACTCTGTATACTGCTGATCTTTTATTGAGTTTAAATTCTTAACCTTACCTAGATCTACCATCAGAAGGCGAGTGAGGGCTGTGTAGAAGGTTGTTCGGCACCTGAAGTCACTGAGACTATAACTGTCATTGATGCCAAGAAAGGGGAAGTGTTCACTCTGATGAAAGTAAAAGAGCATCCAAAGTTACTAATGCTTGACCTAAACTATTCAGAAAATTCTAGGCATTAATTAAGGAATTAAGACTTACCGTGTGATTTTTTAGCATGAATTTCACAGCATCTATTTTCACAAGTTTTTTTAGAAGGATATAGGTAAGAGGAGTTAAGGAATCTGGGAAAATATATTTGTCTTACCAATTCATAATAAATCACAAAATAATAAACCAAAATGGTTTCTACTAGGCCGGGGATTTAGCCCAGTGGTTCTGCCACCTGCCTTGCAGGCTCAAGGACCCGAGTTCAATCCTCAGTACCAAAAACAAACAAACAAAATGGTTTCTACTTATGAAGATTAAATGTAATTTTGAGGATTACTATAGAATGCCTTTCATTCTTCTAGAAATAATAATCCATTATTAACTAGTGCAATTACTTTCCCATCTTATACATATTCCAGTTATGGAAAGGAAGAATGAGTTTTATAATTAAGACAAGAACTCCTTTACTATTAAAGTCTTAGTAGTGGAAAATTAAAACTGACCTGTTTTACATTTTGGTTATAACCAGAGAATTTCTTTTTACTAAGTGTTATTTTATAATAAAATAATTATAAAAGACCCATAATAGGCTATCAAGAAAGAGGAAATTAGTCAATTCTAAGGAACAATGAGCTCAGTTAGAAATCTAAGATCAGAATATAGTTAGGAAGATACAGTGGACTGCATACTCCCAAGTGCTGAAGAATGGTTTAAAAGAACTAATTTCTCAAGTGCCTATGCAGAAAGCACTTTTCATGTCATTTCACCTAATCTTCATAATTACATTGTTAAATATTATTTACCATTTCTATTCTGTAGTGATAAGAAAATGGAAGCTCAGAGAAATTAAGTTATTTGCCTAAGCAAAATTATACAGCTATGGGTTGATGGTGCTAAGATCTGAATTGAGTTTTGACTCCAAAAATCATCACTTTTTAGTGTACCATATTATCACATGAACAGTTAAACTCTGAGAATAAAAGCTGAGCAATTATAAACATGAATATAAGACCTAAGTAATTTCTGGTGTGATGTGAGTTTTAAGCATGTCTCTTTGGTACGCAAAGACCCTCTTCTCTTACTTCACCGTAATAGTGTGTTTTCTACTGTAGCTATTTCCTACAGTCTTGCTCTTGTTTTCCTTGAAGAATGTAACACTTGCATATTGCTCCATAAATATAACAATGAACAATGACTCTATTCTACCTCATTATTTCCAAATTCAGAGTTCTGTTAAATTGCCTCTGCACAATGGCACTGAAAGGCCTAATTCTGAATTTCAGTTACTCAGGTATAAGAGAGTGGAAAACACACCTAAACACAAGTCAGAAAACTTGGGCTCTTGGCTGTCTAAATCAGTTAGCCAGACGGATGAATCTGAGTAATATATTCAGCCTGTGAGAACCTCAGCTACCCACTCCAACAAATAAGGATGAAATCTATGCCCAAGCTAACTTTCAGGATTGTCTTGTCTTGCCAATTATAAATCAGGCAAGAAAACATAAAGATGCAGAAACTACACAATGTATACTACCTGCAAAGCTAATTCTCACAGTTCCACAAAATAGGTAGTATTATATTTATTTTTCAGATAAGGAAGCATACTAAAAATAAGTAATAAATAACAACAAAAAAAGACAATTAATATGATTTAGAGTGAAGTCCCTCTGACTCCAAAGTGACGATTACAGATGCATATTAAGCACATGTATTTGGCTCACTTTACCTTCTCTTAGACTATAATCTTTCTAGGGGCAGGGGCTGTATCCATTCATTTTCCTCAATGCTTTGCTCAGGGGGGAAATCAATATATTTTTGTTCTTCTGACAGGCTAAAGGGCAACAAGATCTGAAATGATATGTAGCAGGTTTTCTCCTTTTTAAAGATGGTAGATTTGATGATTTTCCAAAATCATCAATCACCAAGCAGAACTGTCAATCAAAGTTCACTCAGTTAAACAAGGATGAGGATCAATAAACTTAGAAATAGCTTAAGTAATTACCAAATTCAATTCTCTCAAAATTGCAAAGTCAAAATTGACAGGGTCTATGGTTAATATGAATGCTGCCATTAACAGGAATTTTCCTATCAGTGATGTTAATAAACAGTAAGTCATGTTTTGACAATAGAATATTTATGGATGCAATAAACAGAACATTCACAGGAAGAAGCTCATCTGCCAAAGATACATTTTCTGTAGAGCTGCATCTGTGTTCTTTGTACCAAGGCCAAGCTCACTGCCTTTTAATTACATACTAAAGAAAAATAAGTAAGAAATTTTACTTTTTTTAAATAAAGAAAAGAATTAGAATCCATTGGAATACTTACATTCTTTTACAGGAATTCAATTCCAAACTAGTTATGGCCTTAGAAAATTTGTAATTTTAAAAAAAGCACATGGGTACATCTTTATGAACTGAAAATTTGAAAAGGACCTAGTTGAGTATCAGAGTTTTAAAGTAGGGAGAATGCAACACGTGGTATTTAGAAGAGGATAATAAAGGTGTCAAGGGGAAGGTAAAATGAATTTTCTTGACCCAAGTATAAAGTACAAATTAAGATTGTGTGGTGAATCAGGGAATTAGCAATGGGAACTCAATAAGGTATTATTTAAGGACTCAAATTCAAATCAACAATTTTACTTGGATCTAAGAAGCAAATGGATGCGGTTTTGCACTTTTGGGAAGAGAAATGATCAGATCAGAGCAATACTTAAGGGAGGTAATCTTGGGAAGCAAGAATCTAAAGAATTTGGTGAAAGTCTGAAAAAGGGAGCTAGAGAAGAGTAGAGCAGATTCTCTTTCTTGTTCTTAGTACAAAACATAAGTAAACAGAGGAGATAAATTATGTGACTTTCCTTCTCATGGCTGGTAGAGACAGAAAGCGAAGAAATAAACTAACATTTCTTTTGATGAGAAATGTTAATAGACATATGCCTGAGGGATGTATGCTGAAACTAGTTTTATTTAACATTATCACAAACCATCTGGAGATGGTGGTATTCAGTGAAATACAGCAGTGCACTTCAACATTATTTCACAAAAGCAGAATTAGTGTTTATTATAAAATATTTCTCTATAATAGACATACCCAATTTTATTTCTGCCTTACGTTCTCATTGCTGAGACATAATACCTGAAACCTACAACTTAAAAGGAGGGGGGATTTATATTGGCTTACTGAATTTTCAGTCTATGGTTGACTGGTTCCAAGCAGAAATGGCACAGTGGAAGGACCTGGCCAGAGGAAAGATGTTCACATCATGATGACCAGGAAGCAGAGGGAGAAGTGACCAGGGGAGGAAGATATAGCCTTAGGTCATGCCCCCAGTGACCTACCTCTTCCGACTAGACACTCCCCCCATACTAAGTCAGCTACAGTTATCCCAGAATCCAATCATCTTCCAAAATCTCTGCTTCTGAGCACAAGTGTTTTAGGGGGGGTCATTCTTGATTTTAACCACAACAACTTCCATCTTTCATTGTTATTTCATCCTAGACATCGATTTCATCTCTCATCCTCTATTCTTTTCCTGACTCCCATCACATTCAGAATTCACACACAAGTGGTGGAAAGGCTGGAGCCAGGGTGTAAGTATGTGCTGGATTGTACATACTTGATACACAAGTAATATACTTACTGGTTTGTTATAAGCTGTATCTAAACAGTGTTGAATAAAATGGCTCCCTTAAAGTAGTCATAAGCAGAGTCATATACCCACATTGCTTTAAGGTGTAGATTTTCAGAAAATTAGTATATAATTTGAGTTAAAGAAAACAAAACTGTTCTGATAAAAAACTGACTTTGGGATCTTAAAAAAAATAGGAAAGGAAGCCTAGAATTAGGGTCAATTCTTTTAGAATTTAAAACTTGTGAAGGCATTATTTATATTTTACGTATCCTTTTGTCCTGCATTTAGCAAATGTTTACTAAGTATTTGTTGAACAGAAAGTTGATAGTAAAATCACATAAGTCATTGAGTATGGAATTAAATTTAAAAATCATTATGTTAAATCCAGACACTGTATGCACATCTAGTTATTGTACTTAAAGAAGGAAACAAAGACAAATGAAGCCATGGAAGGCACGGAACTGAAAAACAGAATCATCATGGTGATCAAGTAGCTTTGACAGAAAATGGACTCTGGCTTACAAAAACCAAAACAACTGAAATACACTAACAGACAAATATATTTCCAGCACATGTGGAAGGGAATTATATTCACCAAATTCTGGGGTACAGGAGCTAAGAAGACAGTTCTAAAATCTTAAGATGGTTAGTCTGAAGCCAAATGGAAAGAATCATTTCTTTTTCACAGATAATCAAGGCTAGCTTCCCAGGTGTGCAAGGTGCTTAGAAAGGTCTGATCTTGGTTTAATGCTCTGATGCTGGAGTCTTAAATTCTTTATTCTCTTAAACAAGGGATTCCACTATTTAAATTTTATACTTAGTCCCCAGGAATTAGGTAGGTGGTTTTGCAATAGTATACAGAAGTCATTAGGCCTAAGAAATTTTGATGCTAACAATATTAATAAAATGGAAAATGAATTTGGATAAATTCATGAATTAATGTACAGTTTTCATGTACTCTTAATTATTGTATTCTTTTCATGGGATTTGTTTTTAAAAGGCTAAATGCATTTTGGGTTTTCTCAAACCTTTGAATATTATGTGATGAAGTACAAATACCAACAGAGGCCCTGATACAGAATGAAATTTCTTATAATTATATATCTGAAGCCCAAAGTCACACATTATAGTGCTTTAAATCTAGATAAATAATAAGTTGCAGCAGAAATATTCATCAATTATTTTTCAAAGTAAGAATGACTTCAACTTATGATCAACAGAATTTTAGAAGAGATTTAACACCTTCCTGTATATTTTTCTGCATTTAAAATGAGCAAATTTATTATATTGCTCATATGATCCTTATTCTCTGTCTGATTTTCCTAAGTAGCTTCCCTGTTCCAATCAGTGGAACAATTTCTCCTCTTCCCCATTTAGAAAGAAACTAGAATTTCCAATAAGAAAACATTTTAAAGCAGAGGAAGGATTCCCAAGTACTGAACCTGACTGTAGAGAGCTGGCCCTAGACAGAGCCATTTTAGCTCTATGCATGTTAGAAAGGTATTTAGAATTAAGAAGTCTTAAAATTTCATCTTAGAAATTTGAAAACATTAAAAAGTTACTCAAATATATTCGCAAAATGTATTATATATGCCCTGTGAGTCTGGTAGAAAATAAATTTTCTTGCAAAAAAGGACAGTGGATTTAAAAATTTGCAATACTGCTCTAACTTAGAAAGCTCCAATTTAGTAAATAGCAACATTTGGATAAAAGGCTACAGACTAGTTATAATCTGAGGGTCATGTAATGGCAGCCTCCTCAGTTCTCACATTATTATATAGAGAACTAGATCACTATATCTAAAAATGTCAAGTCAGTCCTATGAAGAACCGCCTGTGGGAAAAGTACCCGACTTTCTATTTAGGACATAATTCCACTTGGTCACTCTTTTTTCCTTTGGCTGTACTGGTGATCAAAACTAAGGTTATTCTACCACTGGGCTATATTCTCATGTTTTTTTATTTTTATTTTGAGACAGAATCTCATTAAGTTGCCCAGGCTGGCCTCAAACATGCAATCCTTCTGCCTCTCCAGTAGCTGGCATGACAGGCATGTACCACCATTCTTAGCTGAGCTCTATTTTCTAATTACTTAACAGAAGTTTTCAAAGTATAGGCCCTGAACCAACTTCACTTGAGGCTTCTTAAAATTTTCAAGCTCTGGTCTAGTAATTTTTATCTTTACAAGCACTTACACTCTGATGCTAATTTTTAAAAGTCAATTTTATTGGTACATTTAGTTATACAGTTTAATGACATTCATTGTTGGAAATTTACACCTTTACATAATTCATCTTGATGCTGATGCTCACTAAATTTTGAGGCCATTGTTTTAAGGCAACTGAAGGCTTCTCAGCATTTCCTAAAAATGAAATATTTTTCAATTTCAACTCCAAGTGGTCAGATAAAGAACAGCAAAGTTCAGAGACTGGCTTCAGACACCAAAAACATTAAGTAAGGTTCATCCAAAGCAGGTAAAATACATAAAGCAAAACAAAAATGTCTGGAGATAATATTATTAAGAAACCAGGAATATTTTTAAACTTTACTGTATGAAAACATTAATATTTTAAGTAAAAATATTCTGAATATAACAAAACTAGAATTCCATTAATAGGAGCCAATGGGTGATCATTTTTATCTTATATAACTTTCTATAGCTGAACAATGCCATCTTATTTTTAATACAGAAACAATGTATGGCTTTAAAATAAAAAACATTCTAATAAAGAAATCGATTGGAAACAACAAAACATACATTAGGTAACCAGTGACTGCACTGAAATAAATACACCACTCACATATTCCATTATGTAAATGAATTCAAAGATATTTCATGACTGATCAGCTAGAAGGGACATAATGATTTATAATTCAAATAACTGAGCACTGAAATCAAATTGAGCTAATATATATTTCTAAATATGCAAACTTCAAATAATTGTTAAAAAATATAAATCAATGTACCTATGTTGAAATTATTTGTATCCCTTGGTTTAAAACACTACAGTTTTAAAACTTTTATCTAATACATTTTCTGAAAATGATTTTTTAATTAAGTTTAAGAAAATTTAAAAGCAATATATAGCTTGTAAAATAAAAGATTATAATATCTGGATTAAAGAATATATACTAGGTATAATGTGATAGAAAAAGGATCTTAAATAGCAGATATAAATAAATAACGTATTATGTAAATTACACTAAAATAATACAAATCAAACTAGTTTCATATTACATATCAATTTCAACCTAAAAAATAGGGTAAATCTAAACAATAGATATATACTATGAAATGACCGAGGCTTCTTTCCAGATATGCTCTCAAAGTAATTCATTGTGAAAAGGCCGGAGTTTGCAATACAGGAAGTACTTATAAACCACTTCATATGTTAGAAATAAAGAGTATTTCAGCATTATTATTAGAAAAAAAAATACAGGTTGAATTTTTTTAATAAGAAAAAATACATATCTTAAAAAGCCAAAATGACCACTAGAATTGGGTTGTACATCACTTTCCAGTAAAAAAGAAAAACAGCCTAGACAGGTGTAATTTATCATTTTTCTGATTTAATATCAAAGAAATATATTAAAATAATAAAAAGAATCCTGAAATCCTCAAAATTTGTAGTGATAAATAGCCCTCCCTGTCTTTATTGCATTATACCTACTAACAGAAATATTGCATGGTGGATTTTGCCAGACAAGGACGATTATTTTCCAATAAAAAGTTGCATATTAAATTCCAGCACAAAAGTGGGTGTCTAATACTTTGGAAATCTTTTATGGTTTGCCAAGGAACACAATTTTAAACTTAACTAATACAAACATATTCCTGGAATGAACCTACATTAAAGCAACCCATTTTCAGAATTTGTCCTCATATTTAAATATCAGCTAATTTCAGTAGTTAACTAAATCAACATTTATTTTTCACTATATCTATATATTTGATAGCTAACAACTACAACACAATCTTCACTGTTTTTTCTTATCAACTTTAGTATATTAAAAAAGAATGATTTCTGTTTTCAGACAAAAATTTTGCTAATGGGGAACATGAAATCTTGTTTTAGAGTAGATAAGATGTTGATTTGTTCATGTCAATAATCAAAGTTGTCAAAAAGCCTATCATTTTCCCCCAATTATTTCTTTATGCTTCTCAATTAATGAAAATCATGTTTTCAACTGATGAATGTTAGAGATATATGGAGTCTGCCAAAAAAAGTGTATACACTCCTGAGCAAAAGAAAAATAGTATGATGTTTTTTCAATAGATAGTGTTACCCTCGTATGGGGGACCCTAGAGGATGTCATATATCATGGAAAACTCACTACACTGTGGGCCCTTAGAGAAGAAATGGGAAATTCATATGCAGCAATCTCAATGACAAGGTTACCCAAGCAACAGTAGTAAATGTCTGGAAGCTCATGGCCACCACTTTGAGCACCTCTTGTGATTGTAGAGATCAAAGGTATTAACTTGTATTAACTTTACATTTTCTCAATAAATTCAGCATTAAAATATTTATATACTTTTTTTTCTCCCTGAAAGTGTGTATACTTTTTTGACGGATGCTACTTTTGCTCTTAGGAATTCAGTTTTTATAAAGTAATATTTTCAGAATATCTAGACCTTCTTAAAATTAGTTACTTGCTTTCTTTTAGAAGGATTTCTGACAAGCATGAAAATCCATGGACTTACACATGTAGTTGCATATTTTCTCATGTAACCATCTATTAACCAGGGGGAGTATAAACAAAGTAGTTAAGAATCTATATATCCATATAAATTCAGTTATGACTCTGACTAAATGCTTCATAGTATACAGCTGTTATAAACCTTTCAAAACCTGTTATGAACCTTTCAAAAATGAGCATTTGTAGATAAGCCTAAATGAAAAGAGTTAAACAAAAACTTTAAAATTTAAGCAAGGGAAATAGCTGGACAATAGAATAATGTACTTGTTAGGTTGTTAACATAAGGTATCAGATATATAGTGAAAAGGATATCCAACAGAAAGATCATTTAGGAACTGAAGAGTCCTTGAAATTACAGGCTCACATCTTCCCCAGTATTTAAGATTTGTAACACTAAATATAAAAGAAAAGTTTTAAATGATAAACTTGTATAGGGAGAATGACAGAAACACATATATAGTTTCATAATTTTGATGACTTAACTCATAAAATGAAAAGTAGGTTGAAATTCCAATGGAATATTTTTCTTTTAACACGTAAAAATGTTATACAATCTACAATGAAGATTGCTTTCCAAATGGTGTATAAGTCCATAAACTACTTTTGTAAATTAAAAAGTCTAAGTGTTTCACAGAAGAATTAAGTTTGTAACCAAAATAAACACATTAGGGAGTCAAAGCAGGAGTCACAGAGGAAGTAAAATAGCAGCTTATAGTTACTGCCAAAAAGGAATGATCAAATTGTAACTCCGAAATTCATTTCTCATGATTTTTATCTAGTTTTGTTTTCTGCAAGCAAGACATTGCTATCTATGAAACATAAGAGCTTGCTTCCAAATGCAAATTTAGGCTAACTATACAAAGTTTTATCTATGACTAAAAACCAGTTAATTCTGCTAGTGTTGTAAGTATAATTTAAGGACATGAGTCCTTATTCCCATGAAACAACATATATCCTTTTCTCAAGGGGATCAGACCTCTCTCAGTGAGTTCACTTCACACAAACTCTTCAGTTGGTCTCTGAAATTAAGCATTTTCTTTTTAATTAAGAAAAGGCTGGGGCTGGAGATTTAGCTCAGCGGTTCGGTGGCCTGCCTTGTAAATGCAAGGAGCAAAGTTCAATCCCCGATACCAAAAAAAAAAAAGAAAAGGCCACCTAACTAAATTGAAGAGTCAACATCTATAAATCTTGTAAAACAATGTTCTTATACTGCATACTTCAGGTGTATGGCTATTTTGATTAATTAAAGTGTTCTCTGGATGTCTAGTTTAAAATGTGAAATTGTTTCAATTTAAAACAATGTTAACGTCTTAAGAATTAAAGCAAAATTAAAAAATTCTGTTAAAAATTAATGTTAAAAATTTTAAATACAGTAAGAGGACTAGATTTAAACAACAGAAGAAAAATTAAAACTCAAAGCAGAAACTCACATTTTTGTCATGAATGTTTCCAGAACATGGTTGTCATCTGTTATTCCTAAGATTTCTGACATACGGGCATATACCTGTATGAGAAAATTTTTATTGTTAAAATCTTTATTATTAACATACATTCTCAAAAGATTATTCAAATTGAACAAATTAAGATTTAAAGCACTATTACCACCACACCAAAACAGGGAGTGCAGGGAGTAAATAAATGAAAGATTAAAAAAGTTTTACAATAATTTAAAAATTTAGTAACTTTTGCTTCCAGGAAGTATTCCTGATTTGAAATATAAACACACACAAACATACTCACATACCCAATTTTAACTCCCATCATATAACATAATTTTTTTCCCTTCAAGGTGGTACCCATCCCTGCAAAAGGCTGGAAAGTAGAGTTCCTTAATAAAAGGTTCCATTAAAGGTTTTTCCTTATAGTCCAGATTTAAAAAAAAAAATGTCAACTAATTCAAGCTAATGTAAGGCAGTTAAAGAAATAAGGATCTAAAATTCAAGATAACAAATTTATAGAAATCCTCCCCACATATCTCCTAATAAAGTTCCCCCCAAATATAGAGGTAGGTCTTACTTTCAACACTGAAACGGAAATCCCAAGCTCTGAGATTCTCTGTTGAAAACATTACGCCCTGGGAATCCAGTAAGCTTCCAATTAGGGATTGTTGGTTGCAGAATAAGGGGTGCAGACTATTTCAGTCTCAACTCCAGCATCATTAGACTTAAAAACATATATCCCAATTCAAGTGGGAAAATGCCACCAGCAGCCAATGGAACATTCCCTAACAGCCTGGCAAAGCTGAGAGGTGGGCTGACACCTCTACTCCCTGATGCTCTGGTGTGATTCCAGGTCATCCCTGCCAGACACCAGCTGTAAGGGATTTCCCTTCTGTGATTTCACATGATTGTGCTCTCAACTTCTCCTGATTTGCTTAGAAAGTATGGCAAATGAGCTTCTACTCTTTGACTTTTGTTCATATTTAAATACCAACCTCATATACTGCCAGAAGTCACAATGGTAAGGTAAAAATCATAAGACATCCCTCAGAGTCATAGGGTCATAGAGAAGAGGCAAGCTGTTCCTTGCAAAAATCTCTTATCTGGATTTTTCTTTGACTTTTTTACTAGTATATGTCTGTGATATATAATAAATACTTTTTTGGGTGGGAAAATCATACATAAACACATCAAATCTTGATCCTTTTAACAGCCCATTTTCCACCCCTCTTCCCCTATCCTCAGATATAAAACACCATTTGAATTAGAAGCTGTGTTTCAGCTTTCAGCATGAGTCCTATGTTTGGAAGGCTCCTCTTCAGGTTGGTAGAGTGAATAAAGAGGGAGAGGAAGGGAGAAAAGAAGGGGATGATAAAAGGGAAATAAAAAAAAAAGAGGGGCAAAATGGTGAAGAGAAAGACTTTCATTCAATTTTCTGTTACCTCTTCTGCTAAGAGCCCTACAGAAAAGCATTACAGGGCTGGGGATTTGGCTCAGTAGTTCCGCTGCTGGCCTCGCACATACAAGATTCCAAGTTTGATCCCAGGTACGAAAAAAAAAAAAAAAGTATTTCAATGATTATCTGTAATTTTGCCCATGAGAGTAGGTCTTCATCTCTTGAAAGAGTGAAGTGATCACTGTGGCTCCTAAGGAGTTTGGGGCAAAAGTGGAGCTTGAGAAAGAACTCAGTGATTCTCAGTGATAAGAAATGCTTCAGCAAAATGTGGGCTCAGTGGAAGAATAACATATAGAAAGAGAAGTTTATTTAGTTCACCGTGATGCAAAACCTCTCATGGGTAGGAGTACTAGAATTGGGACCCTTGGAAAAGGTGATATTGATATGATTTACAGCACACAAAGTCTTTCACAACTTTTCCCCAACCTTGCTCCTCAATTTCAAGACGTAAGGAAATACTAAGGGATCACTGAGACTTATACAATCTCAGATCTCTAAACGTGTTCATATAGACCTCATTTTGCCCAAATCATTCTTTTTCCTTTTTCCTTGATTCCCACTCAAAGCCATCTCCTGAGGCCTACCTCTATCATGGAGCTGACTCTAATTATTTAGTTGTCCATCTCTTCCACTACACTGAAAGCTCCTTGATGGGTGATACTGTGCCTTTCTCTTTGTGTTCCAACATCTAAGACGGTATTTGTCAAGTTACTACCACTTGTGTGTTTAATGTGTAATGGTGAAAATCATGGCCCGGATTTGGAGGGATTGATTATATGATAATGTGAGTACTGAGCAATGAAAAATGAAGGATTTTTTTCCCTATTATGCACATACTGGATTCTATAGACAAAAGATGAAAATCACAAATACACAAGAAAAAGAAAAGCAGTTACAAAGAACAGTTTACATTGTTTTTAACCTAGTAATTGATTATTATGGTTATTTTATTTATTTATTTATTTTTCTGGCACCAGGGATTGAACTCAGGTCCTTGTGCTTGTGAGGCAGGCGCCGGAACCACTGAGCTAAATCCCCAGTCCTACTATGGTTATTTTTAAACTTTACCCTTGTCAAATGAGATCTTTCAAATAAGTCTAGTTTCTAAAGAACAGAAAGTACTGGGGACCTGATACCCAACTGCCTCTCTTCCTCTGCTCACTTTGCTCTTTTCCACAGCCACAAACTGTGCCCTTGGAATGGATTTTAGAAGCATTTTCATTTAACAAAAGATGAAAACATGAATGGGTATGTTTTAAACTAGCCCTACTACAACTCAAAGCACAAATTATCCTAAAGGTACATATGGGATCATCTTTATAGGTAAATAAAATGAACATAAATTCCATGCTTTCATGTATTAATTTTTTGGAAAAGAAATGACTACGTTATTGTCTCAACTGGCTTAATTTATTTTGTAATTATCTGTTATCTCTTGGTTAATTTTCTTGTTTTGTAGCACCTGATGACTATAACGTACTTTTCTAAAACCAAACTTTACATTTTCAGACTACAAGTTCTACCCTTTATGGCAAAACTCAGAATTAATTCAAATTAACTTAATTATGCTATATTGAATAATAAAAATAAAATAATTAAAACGTGATTTTTAACACTTAAAATATTTTCTTAGAAAACGTTTCTTTAAAAATTGATGGTTCCTACCAAGAGAAAGTTTTCTGTTGTGACCCTGGCATTAAAGAGAGGGGGAAGCTAAGCAAGCAGGTCTGTTGTGCTTTGCTGTCAAAACAGTTTCTTAAAGCACCAGATTTAAACCAATAATATACTTTAGAAAACAGACAACATTGACACATGGCAGTGCTTTAATCCACAATTATCCTTGTAACTCCCACCATTCCTTTTATCATCCATTAGCTTTGATTCCCATTATCCCATCTAGAACTGTGTCAACGCTTTTATCCTTGGGGATTTCTCTCCACTACTAGGATCTGACAGTCAAGCTGGAGTACTAAACAGGATCATTATCTCTTAAATCCACTTATCTGATCTACTGAATAGCAAATTGAAAAGCTCATTAAGAGCAACAATCTGATTTGTTTTCTCCTGTGACAGAGTCATTTAAAATCAATGTATGATTACAGCATTTCTTTTAAAAGACTCACATTTTCCTAGGCACCTTATCCTTCAGCAAACATGCAGATAATATGAAAATGTCTCCTAACATTTGGAATTTAATTATACAATAGATGAAGATAATTTGAAGGTGAGAAGTAATGTGTTTTGTGAAGACATATACACAGAATTATTCATTATAAAGCACAAGTCAAACAAAATTTTCTAGAGAAAACAATTCTAACACTTTTTAATACTTTTCTGCATCTTTTATTACTTCATCAAAAATGCTTTTATGATACCAAGAAAAAAAAAACACATCATAGTAATCATTTCTAAAGGAAGCACCCAGGAGTTGGCATAGGGACTCAAGAACTCACTCTCAGCTCACAGATTTGTAATCTTTAATTTCAGAACCTATTAAGATAATTTCACCATAATAAAAACTAAACAAAAAAATCTAAGAGGTGTAAGAGTAAGCCATTAGTCATTTTTCAGAGAAGGGTGGACAATAGATGACATTAGGTAAATTGTTATTCCTTTGGTTATATATTTCACATAGTGAGAGATGTACCCATTGTAGCCAAGTTTTTGCCTGCTTCACTTCAGTTCTTCCCCCTTTCTTTCCTTTTTTAAAAGTATATTTGCATTTCTTTACCACTTTCTCTGTGAACAGAGATAATACTCTTCTATTTCAATCATGCATATTATTTAATGTTTGTTAATGGAATAAAAATAATGTTAAAGTGTATATTTTGGCCAATTTCATTTCATTCATAACATTTTTACTTTTTTTTTGGTACCGAGGATCAAACTTGGGACCTTACACTTATGAGGCAGGTGGCGGAACCACTGAGCTAAATCCCCTACCCACATTTGTAATATTTTTAATCAAAGGAAAACAATTTATAAAGCCACGCTTTCTTGTTTTGTTTTTATAAGGAACTCTTTTTCTTATAAAAATATATTCAAAATTCTATTCCTGAAAGTGAACACTGGTAAATCTCTGTCATTTAAAAAGGTATGGGGCCAGGGATTTAGCTCAGTGGTGCTGCCGCCTGCCTCACAAGCACAAGGACCTGAGTTCGATCGTGGTACCCCAATAAATAAATTTTTTTAAAAAAGGTATGCGGGTCGGGGATTTAGCTCAGTGGTTCTGGCATCTGCCTCGCAAGTGCAAGGGCCTGAGTTAAATCCCCGATACAAAAAAAAAAAAAGGTATGGTTTTAGTGCTATACTATATATATTCATTATATTTTTGGAAATGCTCTCCCTGAAGATTCAATAGTAAGTTTCCTTCTTTAAATCTTTCTTTAGCACATCAATTGCTGCAAGCTTGTTGGAATTGAATAGAATATGATCTTACTAGTATTAATTTTCCATGTAAATAAATGTTTCCTCCACTGTTTCAAGCATTTGCTCCTGGAGGACAGGGAAAGTATCTGTTTCCACAGTACTTAGAACACTGTTTGATAAACTTAATAGAGGAGAAAGAGTATAGATTTTGGTCCCAAAGATAACGAGACTTGAATTCTGGATCTACCACCAGGTAAATGTTACTGAAAGACTCTGAATTTTGGTTTTTTAGCTGTAAAACAAAAATGATGATTGATGATGATAATAATAAATACCTACTTTATGTGTTTTGGAAAGATTAAATGACTCCTAACTCAGAAATTGGCATTTAGTAGTTACTTTGTTCGCTATCCACTTGGACGGACTTATGCAATTTGGTGCTAAAGTTATCAGCTAATACCTTTTCACAAGAAGATTCTTCATATAAAAATTAACTGGTGAGAAGGTGATTTCTTGGAGATTTTCACACAGCATAGTTATAATCATCAAAACAAAACCTCAAACTTTGCACTAATAATTCTGAAATAAGTAAGAAACTGCAATTGATAAAGGCATAAAACAACTTCTTCAAAATTTCACAATAAAAATTGAAATCCTTTCTAATTCTAAATAGTTACTGCCTGAGAAGCTAGAAAAATTACCCACTTTGATCAGTCACCCCCCCTGTCTAGTTCTTTAAATATATGAAGTTGTTAGAAATATAAGAAATTGTCATTATTACAGAATTAAGAAGAACATGTCTCCTTAAAAAACTTTTCATTCTTTGTTTTCTTATTCCTATTTTAATTTTCAGAGAAGAGTATTTGGATATGTACATATTTATTTATTTATTTTTGGTAACGGGGACTGAAGTCAGAACCTTGTGCTTGTGAGGCGGGTGGCTGCACCACTGAGCTAAATCCCCAGCCTCTGGATATGTATATAATGTTTCAATGATCCAATACATTTTCTAACTTCTGAACTAATCAAATGACAAGCACTGCCTCTGTATTGCAGATAACTTCAATGATCTTACATATTGTTTTCAAAGGGAACCAGATAAAAAAAACTAGATAAGGGAATAAACATACAAATAGCAACAAGATTCTGAGTTGCAATTTTAATTTAATAAAGAATGGAAGCAAGTATTGTGATAATTTTAAAATGGCTTTCTTTTTCCAGTCCTAATCTTTGGTCTTGGTTATCTGCAGCACTGTCTCTAACATTCTAGTTATAACTCTGAAGAAACTAATTATGTCAATCCTTAAAACTGAAGTAGATTATAGAACTGGGAAACCCAGAATATTAGTTCCTAAAGGTTGTATGGATATATAATGACAGTCACAGAAATTCAATAACAGCCCTCTATGAAATGTACTCAAAAGCACCCCATGAAACAAATTAAAAAGAACAATGAATCTCTTATTCTGTGCAAATAAGAAAATAAGCGAAAACACTGATTCTATAGGCTTTCATAATAGCTGTTATAATGAATTAAGATTTTGGATAATGAATTTTCAGAAAATTGCAGTAAGTTAATACCCTTAGGCCTTCTACAAATGTTTAAGATATTATAACTTCTCAAAGAGCTTTAGAATACTATAAACAGGCTCAACACAGAAAATTAGGAATGCTGTTGAAATCAACAACATGAAGCCATAAAATATGTATTTTCCCTGAGCCAATTTCTGCTCAAAAACTCGCACCAAATAATACAAAAACTGGTATCACAACTACTTCAAATTATTGTGAATTTTAAAGTATTGTTTCAACTAATTGAAATGACTTACCAATTAAATTGTTTTAAAACTGGTTATCCTTTAGTAAAAAACCTATCACTGGCAAGGTTACATTATAATGAAAAACATTTCATTTTTCAGTAAGAAAATTTCAAAACTGAACTTGAAAACACTTATGAATTAGAAAGCAATTTTCATATTTTCATTTTGCATTTCAAGGACCACTGAGATCATTCAGTACTTTCTACAAGGAAGATGCCATCAAAATAAAAGATCAGGTAGCAGAGGGAGAAGGAGGGGTATAAGAAGGAAATGGGAGTACTTAATGATTTGGATCTAAAGTGTATGGAAGATACTGAACAACTTTCATTAACATATGAAGCAGAATAAAACATGAACATCACAAGTAACTTACCACCACATCAAAAGAATTAATGGCACAAACATCATTGCTGCATATTAAATACACGAACAGTGATCATGAATAGATACATATTAATCTTACTTAATTTTTCCATATCATTTAAAATAACATCACTAAACACAGGACTGAAATAAGATAGACAAATCTTTTGTCAGAATTTAATTTTAAAACCATTATTTATATTAGAAACTAAGTAGCAAAAGGCAAGGGATATGCTTGCCATATTCAGTAGAATATAGAATGGCATCTGATAAAGAAAAGCTGATTAGGGAAGCATAAAATAAATATGCTAAATTTTCATATCAATCAGAATATCTGAGCCCACCATCTGTGGTGGCCATCTTGCTAAGGGAACATATACCTAACAAATCTCTTAAGAGGCATTCCTAATCTGCTTGAATAAGCTATTGTATAAGAAAACTTGGAGTGTCCAGTTTGGCCTCACATTTCCTTCGCTCCACATCCTGTGGCACAAAGCAAGAACTCAGCAGGATGGGGTGCAGGGTTGCCTGCTGCTTGTGATAATCCCCTCTCCCAGTAGGGGCCTCCACTGATGCATGGCTAAGAACATGTTTCCTCTTTTGCTTGCACCCCAGTGGGGTTTCCATTCCTGACTTGGGCCCAAATCCAGACTGCTAAGGAAGGTAGAAAAGTTAGAAGGCTCCAGATGCTGTCAGAGATATTTCTGGATTAGTTTCTAAATAATCATTAATTAGAAAGAGAAATATAGGTATAGTGTGAAAACCAGGAAGACTGGTAATTTTGGAGATTCTTTCCTTCCTACCTTTGGCCAGATCTAAGGTCTAACTACCACCTGTTCAACAGAAGCTGGCTGTTTGCCTCGCTTTCCTTCAGGGAGCCACTGACTAAGAATCTTCACCAGCATGAACCTAATGCCTCCCGACAGGCCTTCACTAGCCAAGAAGGACTCGGGTCGAATGTGCCCGTTTTTGGGTACAGGATACACAGCCCACAGAAAGACTCCTGTGGTGCAACCAGCTGAAAGCCAACTAGAGAAGATAGAGGGTGTACATTTGTCTTGACACAGCTTTGCTCCTGCTGGCTGTCAACTCACTCCATATCTTGGGCCAAGCTTCTGTTAAACTAGTCTTCTGTGGATAAAGCCATAGTTTAGCCCTCAATATGTATATTATCTTTCCCAGCCCATTCAAAAAGAAGGTGCTGTGGCTATGGCATATGACTATGGGAAAAAGGCTTGACTCTGGTTTTGAGACCAAGGTCTGAAGGGGGATTTATAATTCTTTGTAATGGCAAATTTACAAGACAATATGATTAGATTTTAGAATAAAATTGTTGACACTAGGTGAAGTATATGAGAGGGTGATGGCAGAGGTGAGGAACGGGCAATTAAACATTACTCTAGTATCCCACACCACTTAAAGGTGTCAGTGAAAAACATTTTCTGGCACAAGGGACACATACATTCTTGATAGCATCCATAACAGATGCTACTCAATGTAGCTATATAAAACTTTACCCTTTCAGGTATGAGTGACTGGTTAGAACTGGCCACTCAGAAATGCTATAAACAAGAAACCTTGGCTGCTTTTCACATGATACAATAATAATAGAGTCTTTGCAGTTAATATTATTTATACGCTGTTGAACATTTGGCTGTAAAACATGCAAACTCCAGGACTATACAGTATATAAAAACAGGAATCAAGACAGTGCACCCTACACTAATCACTGTGCATGTGACTGTTTTAGTAACAAGAATCTGGGGCTGTAGTGAGACAAGCATAAAGACTGGCACTTCACCACCATAACCAGTAACTCAACTCACCTTAGCTATTTTCCAAGCCTTCTCTGGAACTCTGGATACATCACTCCTCAGGCGTACAACCTAAAAAGCACAGAATTTAAAGACCTACCACCTGGTGCCAGGGATAAGAGGCCTTCCCAATCTCACATACAGGGAGAAAGTAACTCAAGATTTACTTGGCTATCACTTAAAGTATTCTTGGGTCTTTGATTTTATTCTGGAGCCTTTGAGCAGAGGCATAATGAAGTTCTGTACTACTCTAGATACACTTATGTGGATTCCAGTAGGTTTGCTTCAACAGAATAATTTAAGAGACCAATTGCTAAAGGCTGTTTTTAAAAAAGAACAAATCATAAACAATATTTGGCAGGACTATCTTTAAGAATGTCTCAGTACTGTTGTTTTCCATGAGACACTTTCGTTACACAGGTCTGGCAAGGGGAACTAATGATATAAGTAGGCCAAGTCATCTTCTGATAAACAAAAATGCATTTTTAAAACAAACTCATTTCTACAGTTACTCTGAAGGTAAGTAAATCATGTTTAGTCTTCCATCACTTAATATAATTCTTGTATATACACAACCAAACCCTTTGTAAAGGCACAGCAAACTATTGCTGTGGTGGATATGTTAAGATCATTATCAGGTTTCCATTTGTATTTTTAGCATCTTTACTTTAATCATGCAAACTTCCTACCAATTCTTTTTGTTTCCACATTGCCACTCTGAAATCATACCCTATTTCCTATATCTAAAACAACTTCTGTATCTTTCTCCCAAGGATACTTAACTCTTTCCCTCTGAGAAGAAAAATGTTACCTGAAGAGAAGAAATAGCAGAATGAAAAATGGGTATCAATAACATTTATATTTTATTACTCTGCCAAATCTACTACTTTCATTATATTCTTAAATTTTACTAATAACTGTTCCTTTCTAACATTTAATTTCTTTCACACTAGTCCAGTTAATGAAAACTAACTTTCCTAAATGCAGTGAAACAGAATTCACCTTCTAACGGCCCATTAGCCACTTCAAATATTAATATCGAGTTTTAACTCAGAGGAGGCAATATTTGCAGCAACAAGCTAAATCTTGTTTCTATCTTAGTCTTCTATGTTGAAAATTTGCTAAAATGTATGCAAACGCCCAAGAGGTGGACCAAGATAATACAGAGGAATACTGTACTCAGGAAGCACATTCTCCTCTTATTAAGAAGACAGGAATAAATTTATTGAGTATATATTTAAGGTAACTTCAGCTAGGAAGAAACACAGAATATAATGTGTAGTGCAATGCACACGAAGTTTTGTGTGAGACTCTGCTATTTGCTAGCTTGGCACAGTGTGTGGCAGATAAAAATCCTTCAATAAATAGTTTTATTTAATGAATTAATTCTGTAACTCCAGTTAGTCTCTCAAACTTATCCGTATGATAAAAAGACTAGCTAAATAAAGAAAAATATCATTAATTAGGAGGCAGTCTATGAGGTGAAGCCCAAGACTAGTGGGATTCTGCTACTTACTGATTGATTTTGAGTAAGTTGATTACTCTTTAAAACTCAACTTCCTAAACTGAAGATGACAGCAAGACCTAATTTATAAAATTTTAAAAAGGATGATTATGTAGCACAGCCCTGGCTCATATAAAGTTTCTCTAAGTGTGAGCTATTGTTATTACTGGCATGTGCTAAGATGACAGTTACCCCCCCCCCTTTTACTTTATTTGAATTAGATGCTGGAAAAATAGAATATATTTTCTAAACTGACATGTAAAGAGCTTTAGTAATGATATAAAAAGAATGGTTAGAGGAGAGAGAGCACTAATGAAAGGTAGGATAACTCCTACCTAACCTTATATAATGGGCCTAGTCTTTGAACATTCCAAAGAAACAGAAGTAGGATCCAGAAAACCAATGGGAAAGAAGGAAGAAAATGATGATGTTTATCTCAAGGGCTCATCTGTATCACTTGGATGCCCAAGCCTTCATTCTTATTTTTTGAGTTATCCTAAGTCCCTACTTCACATATTCCTAGTAAGTTTTCAACTCACTGGATATGTAGATGATTTACACTGTCATTACAGTATCATCTTTTCAATTGAGGTCAGTGAGCTGAGTTAATCCAATTCTCCAAGTTTTTTAAAAAAACTAAATTAATGCAGGAAATAGGTTCCAGAACATCATCAATTGCAATTTTAAATTATTAAAAAAATTTTGTGTGTGTGTGTATATGTGAGATGAGCCACCAAGGAGCATTCTTTCATAGTAAGAACAGAAAAGGGCTGCCTTCTATATAGAAAAACAACATTACTGATTTCTAACTATGAGCTGAGTCACTTCTCCATTGTAGGATAGATTATATCAAATATGTAGATCTATCTTACTTCTCTTGGACTAGGACTGACTAGAAGTCCCAACTGTATAGTAAAAAAGAGATTTTTTCCCATGGGAAATAACAGCTAATATGGGGATGAAATTTATAATGTTGGTTTTATCAGTCATCACACTCTGAAACTGAACATTCTTGAACTCATGTCTAAATACATACATACATTCATATATACATAGGCACTATGATATAATAGCAAACTGGATACAAAGTAGGATGACTTTCAAGTTCTGCCACTGAACAAGTTATTAAGTTTTCTGAAATTCTGTTTTACATTCTGTAAAATGAAGATAATCAAACCTGCTAAATAGAAGACTATTGAAAAACTCAACAAGAAAAAGTAATAACTCAGCAAAGTAGTTAAACAAAAAACAGAAATCCAATATAGATTAGATTAAGGTTAAAAATAAACTACAATTGCAAATGTTTCATAGATAGCTATTATTTTTTACCTAAAAAAAAAAAAAGAATTTCAAACTTACAACATAGATATTTCAAACCCAATACCTTAAACTTTAAGAAAACTAGAGTACCACGTCAGCTGTACCTCCTGGCAAGTGTAGTATTACAGTCCATGTTTCATAAATGCAAATGGTCAGACAAAAAAAAAGACAATTGCATATTTGCACCACTAAATGTGAAAACATTTCTAAGGAATCAGCAAAATGGACCAAGAGGGAGTATAGAAGAAAATGGCCATAAAAACCTGGAGATAAGAAAGGATAGTAAGTAGCCAAAAGGCTATCAGAAGTGGGTAAGGTGGGGTGAAAGAAAAAAAAAACAACCTTAAGAACTGCAATTCTCAGCAAATATAAAGCCATTAGTGTACTAAGGTGTTTGTCACCTTTCAGCATTTTTTTATTATTGTATAATTTTTCCCATTAAAAGTTTTCAACCAAACTTACTGGGTGTGAGAAATTTTCCATGAAAATACATTTCCAATTTTGTAATGGTAACCCATTAGAAAATATAATTCACATTGGAGAAAACTTGTTTAAAAGCCAACTTGGTTAAACATGTCTATTCAATAAACCAAGGGATACTGGTGCTGGGGAGCTTACTCAGGCCTAGGGAAAAGCAAAATCCCAGTAAGTATGCCAAATGGGCTTTTATATTTCAAGATTCCTTCAACAGAAACACTATGGGAAAATAAAAATTAAGAAAACACTGAACTCAACTAATTTAAATGCAGAAAAATATTTTACATTTATGTTTTATTACCAAGTGCTTTCCCTACAATTGTCCCAAGGCGTCAGATGAAGCTCTATAGTCACCATTGCTAATACTAGCAATTGGAACATGCTCTTTGGCAAGGCAGAAATAAGATAATTGTTCAATATAGGCTGGCTTTTCAGAAATACTGGAAGCACTGCCTGTAATTATAGACATCTGTCACTGCTAGCCACTCAGTACTAACCCTGACATCAATATACAACCATAGCACTAAACTGCCTGCAGGCATAGCAATGGAGACCAGATACGCTAGGCAGGCAATCATCTGCTTCATCCAAACTATCTGTCAAAGGTTCCCAACCACAAATAGCTCTTACATTTTGTATCCTTAGGATAATATGTTGATTTATTTTAGATTCTCTAATATTTACAGTCTAGGGCATCTACTAAAATAAAGAAACAAAACTTATGGCTAATGGAGGCAGTTACTGTTCACAGTCATCATAAAAGGTCATAGCTCAACCCTCAAATGTTAAAAATTGATGGCAGCTTTAACCATACACTATCATACAGATGTTTCCTTTTGTAGAGGTAATTATTTTTAATAGCAATTCAAAATGGTAAATACAATCTTTCATCAGGCAGTATGTTGCCACAGATCCAATAGATATGCTCATATTTTAAACCTATTTTTGAGGTATAAAGATAAGTTTCAACAATGAGTACAGAAGAATCCAGATTCTCAGCCTGGGTTTAGCTTTACCTATAGTACCCTACCTGGCAATATTTTTTACATATATAAATAATGTGATGTCTAAAAATTAGGAAATGATATTAAAGGAGAAAATACTCAGTTAATGAATGAGTCAACTGATATGTAATCTTGCTGGGTGTAAAACTTATTGAAATGTACATGTATGCACATGTACCTTCACATTTTTTAAAGTCCAGAAATAAATTTTGGTTTTAAATCACTCTCTTTTTCAGAGAACAAACTGAAAATTATAATATTTAAAAATAATTAAAAATAAAGACTTACAATTATCATAATGTGTTTCTAAAACCCAGATATTTCTTGGTCTGATCACAACAGCCTATGCTGAAGAAAAACTATTAATTACTGACAGACAGTTAGCTTACAAGTGAGCTGCATTTTAAAAACCTCCTTTAAAATACAATTGCTAAATGCCTTACAGTGCTGTAATGTGAGACAGGTTCAAATCTTATTACTTCACTGAAATTAAAACCTAAGTTTTAATACTGTTCAAGTCGAACAATGATTCCACACTTTATTGCTTTTGAAATCCCTTGATGATCATAGGAAAAAATGCCCCGGAGAAAAAAAGACTGTTTTCGATAAACAGAAAATACAGTTTGCACTCTTAGCCTCTTTGTCATCACAAAAAAAGGATTTAATGCCAATTCTTTAAAAAAAGACTTTTTCCCCACAAAATGTGCACCTTGTGTGCCATTTGTAAAATCAGTTCACTTTCTTTTATTTATTACTACAGCGCGGCA